GCCCAGAGCACGTGCTGCGCAGACCGCCTCCTGAGTGGGATCTAAATAATATTTAAAAAGTGTTAAAGCGGGACCCCTGGCCTAGAGCGCGTCTCTTCCTTCCCAGAAGCAGCGGAGAGCAGGGGGGCCTGCGGCCTCCCCCGCGGCCCCCTCGGGCGCCCCCTCCACAGCGCTCACGGCCGCCCCGCGCTCTGCCGGTTTACGTTCTCCTCTGGCCGCGGGAAGATCCCCCCCCCCCTGCCGCGTCCTTCCTAAAGCAGAATCAACTTTCTCCCTTTGAAGGGTCAGGTCGCGGGGACCCTTTGGTCATTGTTGACGTAGAAATACCAGGACTGTAGTCGATACACTTTGGAGCTTTTTATAGCTCCGGACAGTTGAAAAACACCTGTCTTCTAAGATTTCCTCTTTTTTTCCGATTCTCTCATGTTGCTTACTGGCACTGCCATCCACCCCTTGGCAGAGCCGGGGCAGGAGCTGGGGCCCCGAGCCGCCGCCGCGCTGGTCCCACGCGGCCTCCGCTCCCCCTGCGGGTTCTCGGGTCAGCTCAGGCCCGGCTGTTTCCCGGGGTGGATGGCAGCGGAGAGGGCAGGGGGCTGACCCCACCCCGCCCTGCTCCGAAACCGGCCTCTTGCCCGGAGAGCACGGCTCCTCGTGCTCCTCCCTCCTGGGGCCCTGTCTCCTGTGTTTCGCGGGAGGTGTGGGACCTCCACCCCCGGCTTGTGGCGGGGGCACCGCGGGCGCAGTAGCTCCCCTGTCCCCCTGCAGCAGCTGGCTGGTGGTGCTGCCGGTTCCCTGCTGCACGCAGGTGATGGAGCGCTGCTTGGCTCCGTCGTGTGGACCAAGATCCCGGACCCTCCTGGGCCTGCTCCCCGGTCCCTCCTGCTCCCTGGGCCTCCTGGGTCCCGTTACCCGGTCATCTCCTAGTGTGCTGTTGTGAGGTCTGCGGTTCCTGCGTGAGTCCCTGTCACCCGGAACACAGATGTTGTCAGAGCCTCCCTCGTGCTGCTGGATGGTGGCCTCCTGCCGACCCGCCTGCCGCCCAGGCCGCCCTGGCCCGCGGAAGCGTGCGTCCCCACGCCGTCAGACTCCGTGGCGTCACCGGTGTGTTGGACGCCTCTCTCGGGGTGCTAGTGTGGCAGGGGTCGCTAGTGGTTTACATACACTGTCTCGTTTTCCTGTTCCCAGAGTAAATCCAGCTGGATCATATGTCAGCTTTTATTTTTTTTTTAGATTTATTTTTATTTATTTATGATAGAGAGAGAGAGAGGCAGAAACACTGGCAGAGGGAGAAGCAGGCTCCATGCCGGGAGCCTGACGCAGGACTCGATCCCGGGACTCCAGGATCGCGCCCTGGGCCAAAGGCAGGCCGCTGCGCCACCCAGGGATCCCCCGTACGTCAGCTTTTAAAGACACTATTGGACTGAGTTAGGATTCTTACGTCTGCATTCGTGAGTTGGTTTGGCTGATACTTTGTACATGATTTTTGCTTCCTGGTGCTTGTTCTCTGTCCTGTAGTCAGAGTTTCTATTTCTTCTTGCGTCAGTTTTCCTACATGGTATTTCTCATAGAATGTGCTCATTGTACCTAAGTCTACAGAATTTTTGAAATGCGGTTCCTAATACCCTCTTACTATATTTTTAACATCGTGTGAATTTGGAGTGGTAATTCTGTCCTGGTGTTTCTTGCTGCCTAACACCCCCACCCCCGCCCCGTACAGCACAACTCAGTGGCCTGGAACAGCCACCATCTGGTTTTGCTGGTGACCCCGCGGGGCAGGGGTTGGGGCAGGGTGTAAAGGGGATGGTTTGTCCGTGCTCCGTGGGACCGGGGCCTCAGATGAGTGGAAGTGGCCGTGTGTGGGCAGCTGGGGGTCGTAGTTCTTGTCCTTACACCTCGTCAGAGGCGGCCTGCTGAGGGGCAGGTGGGCACCTCTGCGGGGCCGGCCTGGGCTCTGTCCTGCGTGGACCCCAGCTGGGTGGCCGCAGCCACGGAACCTGCGGAGAGTCTTCCAAGCCGGCAGCCCCCGAAGGGCCGGCACGCGGTGACTCCTCCCGCCTCCGCCCGACGCACCCTGGGGTCCCGGAGCCTGCTGAGACTCAGGGACGCCCTGAAAGGACCGCTTGAGGCGCCGGCAGGGGTGGCACATAAAGGAGGCCACCTGGCCCCCCGCTGCCCTTCAGAGCAGGACGATGTGGGGCTTCTCCCCGTCCTGCGTGCCGGCGTCTGTCCCCATATGCCCGCTCCTGCGTGTGATCAGTGCGGGTTTAATTACTTCCTTTCCCCCTCCCGCTTCCTTTGGGCTAATTTTGTTCTCCTTGTACTGACCCGCCCGGGTGGGGATTCGTCGATGTGCCCCCTTTCCTGAAGGGGTGAGCGTGGGGCCGCACGTGTCCCTGGTGCGCTGCCCCACCTGCACGCCGCTCAAGTCCACGTGTGCTCTCTGGTTTTTAAAGTTTTCGTAGTTTCTGTTTCCTAGTGTGATTATTTCAGCTGTGGGTTACCCGGAGGAATACCTCCAGCTTCCAAACAGGCAGAGACTCTTCTGGTTGTCCTTGGTCGTCCATCCCCGGGTGCGGGGCGTGCTGGGACGCAGCTGCCCTCGGGGCGGAGGCTTCTGTGTGTCTCCTCCCCGCTCTCTGTCGGCCAGGGTCCCCTGCTGCCCCTGTGACAAGAGCCTCCTCCGTCTTTGCCAACCGCCTGTCATGTTCTTGCTGTGACCTTCACTGTCACCGGGCCAAGCTCTCTGTGACCCCTGCTCTGTTCAGTCCTCGCGGTGCCATCCTCTGCGTCACTGTGGCAGGACCTGGAGGCGCTCAGCGATGCAGCCGCAGGGCCAGGTGGCGTCCCAAGGCTGCCTCTTGCAGTCTGAACCCACAACGCAGCAGTCCCCTGGGCATGTGGCAGCTCCTGTCACACCATTCCGGTGCTTCTTGTTTAAGCTTTGCAGTTTGCAGAACCCTTCCCCACGCCAGTCCAGCTCCCTGGGTCAGCTCTGCGGGGCTGTCTTCGGAATGGGCCTGGGCCTGGTCCCTCCGGGTCCTTGGTCCCTCCTGGTCCCACTCCCTCCTGGTCCCTGGTCCCTGGCCCCTCCTGGGCCTTGTCCCTGTTCCCTCCTGTCCCTGGTTTCTCCTGGTCCCATCTCTCCTCGTCCTTGGTCCCTCCTGGGCCCTGTTCCCTCCTGGGCCTTGTCCCTGGTCCCTCCTGGGCCTTGTCCCTGGTCCCTCCTGGGCCTTGTCCCTGGCCCCTCCTGGGCCTGGTCCCTCCTTGTCCCTGGCCCCTCCAGGTCCCTGCTCCCTCCTGATCCCTGGTCCCTCCTTGTCCTTGGTCCCTCCAGGTCCCTGCTCCCTCCTGGTCCCAGGTCCCTCCTGGGCCTTGTCCCTGGTCCCTCCCGGGCACGGTCCCTCCAGTGGACAACAGGGGTCAGACTTTTGTCTCCACTCTGGGCTGGCAGGTCACCATGTGGACACTAGGACCTGGTTCTGTGGATGCTGGTCGTGTGCTCCCTGTGTTTCCCTTGATCTGTGCCCTGTGTGGATGTTGGTTGGCACAGTGACATTTGACCTGTCTAGCACATCGTCCTTCCTCTTCCTTGGATCGCGGGGGGCTCCTTGTCCTGTTCTTCGTTCTTTGTTAGGGGAGCTGCTGTGTCTCCTGCACACCCTCCAGCCAGGTCAGGAGCTGCTGGCAGGATCACTGACCAGGTGGGGGTGGCGTTGAGGATTGGGGGGGGCACACGGTGGGGCCGTTTCCTTCATCCTCCTCGCCTGGGTGTGGAGGTAGGTCCGCGGGGCGCTGATGGGGTCAGCAGCCATGTGCATGGACCTGTGCGCTCAGCCTCGAAGCCTCCGTGCTGGAGAGGACAGTTGTGAGACCTGTAACCCCAGGCTAATAGGTCGTTGTTGTGAGTTCCCACTGGAGCTGGGGGCAGCAGCGTACAACACGGGGACCGTGCCTCAGACCTGTCCTCGCACACCTGCTGACACATGGTACGGATGAATCGAGGCGAGTCACAGCTGAGGGATGTGGAGGGGCTGAGACTGGCCACTTGTAACGCCCGGGGCCCCGAGGAGGTCTGTGGTGACCACACCGAGTCTGCACGGTTAGGGCCCCCCCCCTTGTTCAGCGAGCACCTGTCTACACTCCCTGCTGGTCTTCCGGGCGCCCACACAGAGACCCGCTCGTTCTTCCCGTGGATGCTGGCTGGCGGCTCTGTGCTGGAGAAGCCCCACCGTAGACTTTCCCCTCGAGTGGTATCGGTTTGTTTTCGTAAAGGAAAATGTTAACGTGGCATATTTAGGTTTTGTCAGTACATAAGCATGTTGAAATACTCTCTTTAATGAGTTGTGAGGTGACGTTTTTCTGCTGAGAGGAAGTGGCACGGAGATGTTTCACATGCTCTGCCTGCAGATGGACGCGTGGCCTGGGCTTCTGGGCCGGGCCGGAGGGCGGGGAGGCGTGCATCCGGGCACTCGTGAGGTCTGTACGCAGCCAGAGTGGCGGGCCACACGCGTGATGCAGACCGTGATCGGTCCACACGGGAGTGCGTCTGAGGCCTCCGTCCTTAGCAGGCGGGTTGGTGTGTTTGCACTAGCCTGCTGGAGAGCTGGGGAGCGGAGATCCGGGCCGGAGGGTGCGGGTACCCCCGCCTCTTGGGGCGGTCAGGGTGCGGGTGTGACTCGTTAGTATGTATCTGCTTTAGGGAAGCGTAAGAGTATTTTATTTTATTTTTTTTAAGATTTTATTTATTCACGAGACACAGGCAGAGGGAGAAGCAGGCTCCATGCAGGGAGCCCGACGTGGGACTCGATCCCGGGACTCTAGGATCAGGCCCTGGGCCAAAGGCGGCGCTAAACCGCAGAGCCACCCGGGGCTGCCCAAGTATTTTAAAAATGATTTAAGCCTGTATTTAGGAAGAGGATCTTTAACTAACGGTATTTATTATTAGAATTCACATCTGACGTGTCGAAAAGGCAAAGTAATGGGATCTTTCTGTTCCACAGAGTGAAGCCTCTCCCGCTGGGCACGGCAGGCTGACGAAGGGACCGAGGGACACCCGTGCGCTCGGGGTCGCCCGGCCCCGCCTGCGCCCAGGGAAGCTCTGCCCGGGTCCCAGCACACGCAGACACCAGCCTAATCTAAGGTAAGGTAAACGCCTGCAAAAATCTGCTCACCTCTGACTGATTAGAAAGTACCTTCTGCTCCCTGTAAACGGAGTAATTAAAGCCGTTTGCCTTCTCGAGTGTGTTTGATGGAGTAACTTCCGTGCTGGATCGTGCTGGATCGTGCTGCTGCCTCTCTCCGGGTGTGGCGGGCCCAGGCCACCTGCGAGCCGGGCCGCGGCTGGGGCGACGTGCTGCTGCCCCCCGGCGGCCGTGGCTCCCGGCCGGTGCTCAGCTACTCTACGTTACCTCCTTTGAGGTGGTTACAAGAAAACGTGTTTAGTACTTGATTTTTTGGTGACTGTCACGTGATTCAGCATCTGCTCTTGAGAGAAGTCGGGGTGCGGGGCAAATTTAAAGTCGCGGTTAAGTTAGCACCATGTGAGATCACGGCCTGCGGAGTGACTGCTTCAAGGAAGGAGAGTTCTCAACACTCACGGGAGTCTTGTGGGGAAGAAGGATGAGGAGCTGGTTGGCAGGGGGGTGCCGGGTGCCCCTGCGCTCGCTCGTTCTGTAGGTGCGGACAGGTGCCCGGCGTCTGGGGTGAGGCCGGCAGGAGCAGGTGCAGGGCTCGCCGTCGCTGGGGGGTGCAGGTATGGGGCTCACCGTTGCTGGGGGTGCACGTGCAGGGCTCGTCGGTAGGGGTGCTTGCTGTCACCCGCAGCTGCCTGGGAAGGCCCCGTGTCTGCACCCGTCAGGGAATCAGGGACGTAAGGACACTAGCTCCCAGGGGGTAGGGAGAGTTTGCACCCCCCTCTGCAGCAGGGGAGCCGGAGCGTCCGGAGAGGGCCGAGTTAAGGCCCTGGCCCCCTGCTGCGCCAGTGGGGTGGGCTTCCCTGCAGCCGGCTCTCGCGAGCAGGATTAGTGGTGGGATATCGAGAGGTAGTGAGCAGCGCACAGCTGCCTGAGGCTGCGAGAAACGCTGTCCTTCAGCCCCGCTGGGAGTCGTGCCGTCTGTGACCACCTTTCATGCCATGGCAGCGAGCGGCCGCATTCATCGTGCCATATACGTGAGATGGCAGGGGTTTTTATGTAATGCGTGCATTGGGGAGGTGAATTATTTATAATCCTTTGCAGAAATAAATTGTCCTTAAAGGCGTCCAAACAATAACGAGGCCCAGAGGAGGGCTCCAAAGCACGTGCTGAGAAAGCAGAATGAAAGGCCTGGTAATTATAAATACTGCAACACCGGGGGCTACCTCTCCCTCCATGGGGTCCTCCACCCACGGGGTCCTCCACCCACGGGGTCTCCTTCTATGGGCTGTCCCTTAGTTCTAGCTGTAGAGGAGAAATTTCGTATTTCTTGGGACACCGGGGTGGCTCAGCAGTTGAGCATCTGCCTTTGGCTCAGGTCGTGACCCCGAGTCCCGGGATCGAGTCCCACATCGGGCTCCCTGCATGGAGCCTGCTTCTCCCTCGGCCTGTGTCTCTGCCTCTCTGTGTGTCTCTCGTGAATAAATAAAGAAAATCTTTAAAAAAATAACAAAATCCAGTAGGTCTGCATTTACTGACTCGACAACTGCTAGAGGTATAATTATCGCACAAAGAATTGTGGCGACGGTCCGACGTATTACAACTTTCCTTTTTCAGAGTGGTTGGAAAGGAGAGGCCAACATGAAACATTGCAGCTGAACCGAGCCTTTGCGGGGGGAGCTCTCCTCACCGGTAGGCGCGCCCTGCGGCCCTTTCCCAGGGCACCCGGCAGCCCTGCAGTGGTCACTTCACGTTAGTTCCAGCAGGGTGGCTACAGTCACCGTCCTCCCAGAGGGACATGTCGGAGATGCTCTCCTGCGTCTGCTGCAGTTGGGGCCGTCGGGGTGCTCCCGGGGTGCTCCTGGGGCACCTGCCCTGCTGCTCCCCTTGCAGAGGGCCCAGGGACTGGACCCACGCAGACGTTTGTTCTGTAACAGATACTCGTGAGCTCCTCCATCGTGCTCTGGATGACGCTCGTAGGCGGCACGACCTTGTTAATTCGCACCATATCCTCAAGAAGGAAGGCCGGGCAGAGAAGTCAGCGCATCGTGACTCCGCACAGGCCTGGGCCCCAGTCTGCGGGCGGTGCGCACCTGGGCATCTCCCCAGGTGCTCACAGCGCAGGGCAGACTTCTGAAAGGAGCTGGTCCTCCCCTCCCGGCATCCGCGTGGTGCTACGGGTGTGCAGGCGGGTGTGCGTTAGAAACATGGAGGAACGATGCCGCGAGGGTCTGGGCTGGGTGATCCTGAGCCGCTGCCCGCGCGGGCCGTCAGCCCTCCAGTGCAGGAAGGCTCCTTGTTTGCCGGACTGCCGTCTGCCCGCAGGGGGCCAGAAGCACCCCAGCATGGAGCAGCCGCTGGGACGGTGTGTCCCCCGGCAGCTGGTGGGGAGGGTGTGTCCCCCGGGATCCAGCTGGCGGGGATGGTGTGTCCCCCGGGATCCAGCCGGCGGGGATGGTGTGTCCCCCGGGATCCAGCCGGTGGGGATGGTGTGTCCCCCGAGATCCAGCTGGCGGGGATGGTGTGTCCCCCGGCATCCAGCCGGTGGGGATGGTGTGTCCCCCGGGATCCAGCTGGCGGGGATGGTGTGTCCCCCGGCCTCCAGCCGGTGGGGATGGTGTGTCCCCCGGGATCCAGCCGGTGGGGATGGTGTGTCCCCTGGCATGTAGCTGGTGGGGATGGTGTGTCCCCCAGGATCCAGCCGGTGGGGATGGTGTGTCCCCCGGGATCCAGCCGGTGGGGATGGTGTGTCCCCCGGCCTCCAGCCGGTGGGGATGGTGTGTCCCCCGGGATCCAGCCGGTGGGGATGGTGTGTCCCCTGGCATGTAGCTGGTGGGGATGGTGTGTCCCCCAGGATCCAGCCGGTGGGGATGGTGTGTCCCCCGGGATCCAGCCGGTGGGGATGGTGTGTCCCCCGGGATCCAGCCGGTGGGGATGGTGTGTCCCCCGGGATCCAGCCGGTGGGGATGGTGTGTCCCCCGGGATCCAGCCGGTGGGGATGGTGTGTCCCCCGGGATCCAGCCGGTGGGGATGGTGTGTCCCCCGGGATCCAGCCGGTGGGGATGGTGTGTCCCCCGGCATGTAGCTGGTGGGGATGGTGTGTCCCCCGGGATCTAGCCGGTGGGGATGGTGTGTCCCCCGGGATCCAGCCGGCGGGGATGGTGTGTCCCCCGGCATCCAGCCGGCGGGGATGGTGTGTCCCCCGGCATCCAGCTGGCGGGGATGGTGTGTCCCCCGGCATCCAGCTGGCGGGGATGGTGTGTCTGCGGCTGTGTTTCAGGTGCTCACAGATGCAGGGCAGCCGCTGAGAGGAGGCGGGCTGCTCTTCCCGCACTCCGCAGTGGCAGGGCATGCAGCTGCTCTCACCGGCACTCCTGCTCTGGAACAGGATGCTGAGCTGGATGTGCAGTGGGCAGGGGTGGGGCCAGTAAGGAAGGGCAGGCCCTGCCCTGTGCAGGGGGACGGGACACACACCCACTTCCTGGAAGGTCTGTGGGAACGAGCCGCCTCTTCGGAGCTGACCCTGCAGGTGTAGGTTGGCCTGTGTGGCTGTCCCGTCCAGCTCTAGGCAGGGGACGGACAGCGGGTCCCTGCGGGGGTGGGCATCACCCACACGGTGGGAGGGAGGAGTGTGCCTCAGCGCAGGTGTTGGCTCCTGGGCCGCGAGGGCCGCATGCCACTGACACGGCGTCTCCTTCCCTAAGGCAGAGTCCTGGGATGCCCAAGACCTGGGTGCCGCCGCTCGCCGCAAACAGTGCCGGCCACATCCCACGTGGGGAGGCGCCTGCATGCACTTGTGAGCCCAGGGCCAGCGCCCTGCCCTGCTGGGATGGGACGGCTGTCCGGGGGGGTGCACTCAGAGCTGTGGCCCCGGCTTCTGACCCTCGAGCCGTCGGTAGTCAGCGTACCTGTGGGTCAGCGGTCTGTTGCTGCACACCCATCAGCAGGACCTGCGACCACACTGGCTCACTGGCCGCAGTGTCCTGCAAGCTCTGGGGTCTCCCCCACAAGCTCCTGTGGTCGCAGGGCTGGGGCCTCCAATCCCAGGGACCCCCCCGTGTTCCCGGCCCAGTGGCCATGTCCACAACATGCAGTTGGCCCCTTCCTGGCCGTGGGAGTGTCACCGTCACTTCCTGTGTCCTTTAAGGGCTCACCTGATTAGGGCAGGCCCACCCACAACGCAGGGTCGGCTGAGTAGGGATTTAACTTTGTGAACCTTCGGTTTATATTACGGTGTATCCGTCATAGTCACGGCTCCACCTGTCAAGGGGAGGGGATTATACAGGGTGTGGACACCACGCGCCAGTTCCACACACCGGGAAGACAATTTGCTACACCTGTAGCTGATGGGGGCCTCCTGAGGGAGGAGCCTGGCTGATGGGGCCTGGCTCAGTTTCCAGAGTCTAGAACACATGAAAATTCTCACAGGTCAATAAGGAAGACAGTGCAGTGGAATTAGGGGCAAAACATTTGCTTAGTTTTCTCACAGAAGATGACGCAGCTTACGTGGCTAATAAACACGTGAAAGGTGAGCGTTCATCCAGCAAACGTGGACCGCCTGCCGGAGGACAGAGCCGTCACCCTGTGATGGACGCGTGAAGGTGAGGAATAGGGTGGCACCTCCTCAGGGCCCGCCTGGGTGCAGGCGACGAGCCAAAGAGCCGAACCCCGGGTGCCTCGGCCACTGCACACCCCGGAAGCCAGGGTGAAGCCCCCCTGCAGGTGGCCGAGGGTCCCAAGGCCGGAGTCCCACTCCAGGAATGGCTTTCGCATCTGTAAGGACCACAAGGGAAGCAGCGGTGGCAGCACGGGCCACAGAGCCTGGACCGCTCGCCGTGCGGCTCTGCACGGAGGGTTGCAGCCCTGCTGGCCGGGGTGAGCTCGCCGCGTGGGGCCTGACTGGGCCCCCTCGTCTGGGCCCCTGGACGGCTGCACCCTGACGGTGGCTCCCTGGGCCAGGGGGTGTCCCTGCACTCGAGGCCCCCTGCCCACGGCTCTGAGCTCACAG